AAATAAGAGAAAAAAATTAAAATGATAAAATGTTAAAGTTCCCTATTACGGGAGCATTTAAATTATGGTGCCCAATTCTTTTACCGCTAAAGCGATAAGAGGAGGGGAGTCCCCTCGCTTCTGTGATAGCGAGTATGCATAAGTACATGTTCCTTCGCGCGGGTACGTGCATACCGGTACATGCGCATAGGCACATATGAACGGTTAAAAATAGGCACACTTGCACACCCCCCCCTTCAGGGGCATATCCTTACACACACACCTTTATATGCCGCCTTTGCGCACACGCACGAGGCGCTTAAGTTACCAATTCCAACAGCTACTTAGCACTTCAAAAGTAAGTTCACCCCTCGCTCCAACTCAGCTAAATTCGAATACACTTAAAGAAATAAACAGACATGACTACAGTTATTAAACATAAAGAAATGACCAGCCCCGTGACGTAGACAAAGGCAAATTCGTGTTCCTCAAGCTTTATTTTCAAGTTCATTCCAAAAACTCCTGCAAAAGAAACGCAAAAAAAAAAAAAAGCGAGTAAAATGAGATAACTCGTTCGTCCTGAGCTATATGCGCGCAGTGGGTAGGCGACACTTTTCCATGCTCTCTACGTCGCTACGGCCTTACGCCCCATATGGGCGCGCAAAATTAAGGCAATTCCTCAAAAGGCGACCGAACCGCGCCATGATTAACCTGTTATGAGTGTTCCTATGCCGAAGCCGGAATTAATTAAACTGATGACTATGTCCATGCGTATCAAATTATTCCTAGAAAGAGACAAATCCGATGCCATTTTGTTCTCCAAGTTTTGCATTAACTCATATAAGTGCTTCACCTGATCGTGTATCTGATGAAGTTCCTGGTCAAAATATTCAAAGAGCATTTGCAGGTCCTGATTCGTTGACTCTTTATTGTCTTCCTCCCCATTAATAGGGTTAAAATAACACCTGGTTAATTCCATTTTTTTCAGGTCCGCATTATTTTCGGATATTTCGTGAAAAGCCTTAATGAAGGAATTCACTTTATTTATTAAAATATTGGTTGGTTCTTTTAAGTTATGCAAATTCGTCTGCACATCCTGATAATTGGTAACTTTTAAGGTAAATTTGATGTCTGCAAATTCTTTACTTAAGAGTTTCATTTCTGCATTTAAATGTTCAATGGCACTTGAAAAAACACATTCCAGGGCACTAAATTCAAAGGGTCTTTTCTCCATATTTTTGGTGTCAACTTTGTACAAATGGGTATATCTTTTGGAGACATTACATAGCTTCTTAATTAGATCATCTCGAATTAAATCTTCTTTTATCACTAGGAACACACTAGAGTGTAAAATGATGCATGTTAACGGGGGCAGGGATACGAGTATGGCATTTAACCGGGCTTCTATGCTGGCTATATTGTTATTTTCTGCGAGCAGTTGTTTGCAGTCTCGATAGTTTATCAATCCACTCTTCTGTTTTATATAATTTATATGGCAACATTGTTTCACTCTTTTCAAAAACTCCGTGCATAGATATTCCCTTATGAAGCACTTTCCACCAAAAATTTCTATTATGACGTGTCTTTTTAATTTGCTTAGCTGAATTAGATAATCGTTTTCGTGTAGTATTCCCTCCAGTTTAAGATTGGACTCCCTCTTCGTGGAATCCATGTTCAAGTTGTAGTTGAGGTTGTAATTACTGTTATAGTTGGCGCTGTCGTTGCCACTATGATTGTCGTAATTGCTATGACAGCTGGTGTTGTTGTTGGTGTTGCACAGCGAGTTACGTATCCTGGCTTTCAATTCCGTGTTGTCGTCATTCAGAGAATACATTTCCCTATTTGTAATTGTGGAGTTATTTACCGAGTTGTCCCTCCTCGAAAAAGTTTCCAGCTCATCCTTCTCTTTCTTATAACGGTTAATTATCTTCTTCTTCAGGCTGTATTCATACTTGTTTTTTTCGAAACTTGTCATGTTCACAATGTCATCATCGTCATTGAAATCTAGCTCGTCGCAGTCGTAGTTGCGCTTTAGGCATTGGCCGTTGTCCTTCAAAGCGAAGGATGCATAAGACATTTTGAAGGAAGCGAGAAGTGTGTACAGGGAAAAGTTGTAGAAAATTTCACTAAAATGGGACAAAAAAGCTACCCAGCGGGGAAAGAACAAGACGCATAGGAGAAGCAACAATGGAGAAGAAGAAAAAAGAAAAAAAAAAGAAAAAAAAAGAAAAAAAAATATTCTAAAGCATAATCTTAAAGGACGAGAATCTAGCCAAATGGGCTATAACAACATGATGAACAAATTGTGCACTCATGTGTATGCACATGCATGTACATGCTAGCGTGGCCCTAAGGTTCTTTCCCTTTCAGCGCACAGAAATGAGGAGGCTCCTCTAAGGTCAAAAAATCGGGCACGTCACAAAAAGCAGGCATGTCACGAACCTCACGGGAAGCTGGCATTCCACGAATATCACTAATTTTTGCATTTGTACACTACTTTAATGAAACGCGGTGGGTGGCCATATTCGTCAGGGTAACTAAAAGAGATAAATAACCCCAATAACCCAGATAAAGTGCCATGCAAAAACAATACATTTAATATGGAAAAAAAAAAAAGAAGAAACTAAGTCCTGTTTAGCAACATTCTAAAAAAGATTGCTTAAGTATATACACATCTGTAAATGCATATCTTTTTGCGTCACCCCAAGCGCCTTTTGGCATGTTCTCAAACTGTATGTGCGCGCAAGCAATTTTAACGTGTGCAATTACCAAGGTGGGCAAATGAGCAAACTGGGCTAGGAGGAAAATGTGTAAAATGTTCAGGTGCACAAGCGCGTAAACATACACATATAAAATGATAAGCAATGTTTCAGGTCATACGTGTAATACGCATGCACAAGTGTGAAGGGCATCAAAGAGAGCAACAGGAATATTGGGAATACGCGAATATGAAAAAAATGAGTAAAAGAGAAAAATTAAAAACTCTTCACTCCGCGCCCCATGTAAGCATGCAAGTGTTCTTCCAGCATGTCTGCAATTTGGTAATCCAAAACAATATGCACGGGCATCCGCGTGTTGGCTTCTACGAAGTTCCCCATTGTCATTTCACAAGTGTAATGTGCAACATGCCATTTACTTGCCACTTGTGCCTTGCCATGATTGCGCTGGCTACGCTTCGCTAAAAAGGATTAAACTTTTGCTGCTCCTTATGCGTGTGTGTAAATATCCATGTTGCCCAAATCTTTGCTGCGTTTTTTATTTTCCCTTCTTGCCATTACCAAAATGGTGATAATGTTTGCCACCCCCAAGATGAAAATAACTACATTTTAAAAGGGGATAAACAGCTACAAGAGCGCGACAGTGGATTTTTCTCAAAAGAATATGTTTTATTTATTTATTTTATTTATTCTAGTTACTTTATTTATTTATTTCATTTTTAAGGGTTACAAGAACTCGCATAGGGGTTACATGTGTTCATAATGGTGTATCCCTTAGGGTGTCACTGTTCCGGTAGGTGGACCATCCTTGGATCACGCACTTGCCGTTTTTTCCCTTTACCGTTTTGCTTCTTGCCAGTTTGATCAAGAAAAAGTCCCCCTTCTCCGCTTTGCATACATATGATTACGTCGGCGTAGCTTCTACAAAATGGTGTTTACCGTCACGTAAATTTTTCCGTGCGAAAAAAATGAAAAGTAACAAATGAAACGAAAAAAAAAAGGCAAACGTGACACCAAAACAGCCATGAAAAAAAAAGAGTCAACGTTGTAGGACCTTTACAAACGCTTATTTTGGTGAGGCCCCATTTAATGCTTTCCACTTCGGCTCATCTTTCATGAATGGTTTCGCCCTAGTTGTCGCCTACTCAAAAGAAGGAACATAAAAGTATCCTCAAATGTATACATATCTCACACGCAAATGTATGAAAAAGAAGAAAAAATATATATATTCCCTTTTGTGCGTCAAACAAAACCGTACTGCTTCTGCGCAGCGGACGGGAAATTCCAATGCAACATTAAGAAAATAAGAATAAATGAAACAAACCCATTTAACGTTCTGTATGCATATTTTCCAGATTAACAAAATAAAAAGACACTTTTTCTTTCATCCCCAGAAGGGTCCTTTCCCCGCACTTCATCATGAATAACGACTCTGGTGTTTCGTAATATTTGCCCATTTTGTAACTCACGTGAGGCATGCTCAATTGGGAATCTTTCCGACAATTGGTCTTCCAATATGTTCGTGTACATTCGCATCCAACTCGTCCATCGCGTAAGCAGCTAAGGGTTTTTGCACCTTCGCACAAGCACGCATGCATATGCACATATAAATATATATGCTTACATGCACCGCCACGACCCCTCCATATACATCATGTGCTCGCTGGGCGCATATAACCCTGTGCCTTTCACCCCTCGCTGGACCGAATAAACTCATGCGCAAAATGAAAAAATATAAAGGCTCCCTACTTACAGTACTGATAAGCAGCACAATCGGGTGGAACTTGAACAGGCTATATCGGCAAAACGAATTGAGTATGCATGGGGTTAGGAACAACCATGATATAATCGTAGTTAGACAAGTAAACATTTCTGATAAGAAGAGCCCAGACAAGCACCTCCACAGCGAAAACAACAAAAACAGCAAAAACAACAAAAACAACACAGCTACGAGCACCAAGGGAACCCCCCAGCCAGCCATTTTAAACGAAAAGGAGCTACTAAATTTGGTGCAGCATTTTAACGATATCAATAAAAAACACAAGGGATTCTGCGAAACAAGCATCTTTAAAAATTCCACCTTCTCAAAAACAAATAACGAACATAACGGTGAGGACAGTTTTAACACATACTTGATAATAGACAAATGGAAAAGAAAAAACGAATTTGAAAAGTCCAAAAAGGAGTTCGAAATTTTGTTTGCACAGAAAAATCACATATATGATAAAAAAATGGAGAATATTTATCTGAACTATGAAATGTATAATAATAATTACGAAACTGCCTCGGCACAAAATATTTTCCAGAAATTGTACTACTTTATTTTTGACTAGACGGATTCGCTTATCTGTGCAAAGCGAATTTTTGTTTACCTTGTGTGCTGCCTCGCTTTGTGACGAAATGCAGCCCCCTTTCTTAAGGCCACGCGTAACCAAGTAAGCTTTAAGCGAAGTGGTCACTTCGCCTTTTTGCCACGTCCACCCCTTCTCACTTCTTTCCGAGTTTGCCATTCTTAAAGCGAAGCAACTAAACATAATGCCATCGGTGAATAAAAACTAAAGCGCTACGCAGAAATGACACATTACACTGATGTGTAAAAGCCCTACTACTCATTTTGGTGCAGCGACAGGAAATTCAAAAAGGGGAAGAAAGGGCTGAATAACCCATTCGAACAATACAGAAAAATACGTTTTCTTATGCTTTAAAAGAAGAAACACAAGAAGTGATTAAAATGGGAAAAGCTAAAATGCCATGTACCTAAAGTGCCATAAAGGAGAACATAAATTCGTAAAGCTTTTGGGAAGTAAAAAAAAAAAAAAAAAAGGTTCTTCCCAATTTACCATTCGTCACGTGGGCATTTCTTATGCTGCCTGTTGGTACCTCCGCTTGGCAATCCCGTCCGGTACTCCCTTTCACGATTTGACAAAATACTTGGCGATGGCAGCATCAGATAAGAACGAATTGTGAGCTTCGCCATCCTGCGCAGGATCTACTTTAAATCTCAACAGGGCAGATGGAATCAGGTTGCAATCGCACAGCCTTTTCTGCGGGTCAAATTTACATATCCCCGGAGTTTCATAGATGAACCATTTCTTCGTCGCCACAGATGCCTTCAGGAACTAACAGGAGCAGTTAAGGAAAAGTGACACACGGAAATGTTGCATGAAATGGGGAAAGTCATACAATGCGTAGCTTCGTGAAAAGCGAAATGGAAAAATAGCCTAGGGAGAGGGGAAACTAACCAACAAATGGGACAGACATAAATGTAATTTTTTTTTTTTTTTTTTTTTTTGCCTCCTCCTTAATGGGTAGGCTAAAAAAGGAGTTTTCCCAATTTGTTTTTTCCCCATGTCGTGAGAACTTCCTTTTTTGGCTTACCTTTTTTATACTTTCATTCACCTCATGTATTGGCGTTCCAGCCGAAAAGGACATTTCAAGGACATAAGAATCAGGGAACAATATTTTCAAAACCGTCTTTGAATAAACCTTTCTGGTGGACAGTTTCTCCAACTCCAGTTTGGTCTTCGATTTGAAGGTGTGTTCTTTGAACAAGTTTCCAATATTGGGGATAAGAAATGCTAAATCTTCTGATCGCTCTTCCCTTTCCGAATCTGACGAATTATAGCTTTCACCTTTAGGTGCATTAGCCTGAAAGCGGTATATTTTGGGATTCAAGTCGACGGCCTGGTTCATCAGTTTCTCCATTTGCTGCTTCTTCTCGCGTAGAAGCTTGTCTATTTCTTCATCGCTTTTTATTCTGCCCTTCTTTAGGGTATCCACACAGACAATGTTCGATTTAAAGGGGTCAAAGGCAGCCTTGGGAGGACTATCAATTTTTATGGAATCCTTGGCGATATGTTGCAAAGTTTCATAAATGCATAGTAACAACAAAGTGTCTACTCTCTCCATCACGTAAAATACGTGCACTTCGACAAAGCCTATGGAGAGTAAAAAATTTCTGGCCTCTTGATGTATCAATATTTTGTTTTTCATTATATCATTGGTAGACTTCAAAATTCTTGTATTCATAGCATTTGGATTTATTAAAATATTTTTTACAATTCTGCACAAAATTGGAATGAGACTTTTTAAATCATTCATGTTAATTCTTTTCAGCTTCTCCGTTTCGTTAATGCTTTTGATTGTATCGGTTTTCTCCTCTGAATAACTACGGCAGGGGTAATTTTCATCATCATAGGACAAGTAAAAAATTTCCTCTTTGGGAATCTCTGTAACGTTACTTTCAATAATTTTCTCTAGTTTGTCCTTATCATATTTTATAAATGAACTTTTTATTCCTTCCCCATTTTCTGCCACTTTTACACTTCTGCTTGTTCCGCCTTTCCCTCTATCCACGTTTTTGTCATCCACATTGGTCGAACCTGATGTGCTAATTCTTCTGGTGCTTTGGTTCTTCAGTTCACAATCTTCTTGAAGTGCTTGGTGGCTATTCGCGCATTCATTCATGTCACCTTTCTTCAGCTTTTTATGCAAATTGCTTAAACTGTGTCGCTTATTTAAATTGTTAAAGTTGGATATTTCGTCACCATTTTGATGTCCTAACTCCCTGGGAGTCCTCTTTTCACTTGGTCCAATTTTTCCCAGGCCGTTTGGCAGATCATTATCACAATGTTTTGCACTTTTATCATCGTCCTTGGTAATCCCCAACTCGTTCTTAATTTCGTCGAGCAACCGTATGGGTATTTTTAGCTTATTCCATTCATCTTCCCTTAAATTCTTCAAACTTTCCAGGGAATCAAGCCAGTTATCTTCCACGATGATTTTGACAAATGGCTTCAGCTGCTCCGCGTCCTTCTTAATTTTCTGCCCCACACGTAGTAGCAATTTTACGACTTCGTTTTCTGAGTCCATTCTGGGCAGCCTCCGTTCAGCAACTCGGCAACCTGCCAGCTTGGCGGATATGCAACTTGCTAATTGGCTCTTTTGCTGCTTCCCAGTTTAGCCCACAAAAGAAACCCGTAGGCAGATCTCACTCACGACAGGCTAATCACATGAGCGCAGTGTTTTCCCCCGGTGCAGCTGCAAAGGATTTATACATACAGAATGGTATTAAATCCTCCCGTGAACTCTTATCGATAGTGTGAAAAATTCAGGGTAGTACTGCTACTTTTGCATGGATGTTAAAATTTTACACACGCACAGCACGTTTAACCAGTGAGCCTTTTATATCCCTTTTTGTCTAATTAGGATTCTTATTCTCCTTTCAGAGGGGAGGGAACAAAAAAGGTGTCAACGAAGCGTGGCACAACGTAAAACTAAGGACATAGATGTGAACACATGCCTATATTAGGCCACAATGATATATGCCCATGTTTCATATGAGTGTATCCTTATGCTTGTTTACGTCACTGCACAATTTTTCAACATCAGAAAGGTGCCTACTTCGTGGAGCACAAAAACCGTTTCGAAACGTAGGTGTATGAATTTTAGTTTTTTTTCTTTTTTTTTTTTAAATGCTGCCTCTCTTTTTGGTTATTCCTACTATTCGATGGAAATGCATTCCATAGGCGTAATAACACAATTTGTTGCGGTAAAATAGGTAAGTTTGCTTCTATTTTCTTTTTTTTTTTTTTTTTGGCACCTATGAAAAAATCAAGTTGATCTGTTTCTGGCAACTCTATGTCGATTTCCATAAAATGTATTTCTTTTTCAAATTTTTCTTTCCTTTCTCCGCTTAACCAATTTTGCGAATGGTATTTATAATTTATTTTCTTTTATATCGACCACATGGACTCTCTTTAATTACACATATGTCACAGATAACCTTGCGTATAAATACACAACCGCTAAGCGCTTTTACTTCTCCCTCATTCCGTGTGCTCATCCTGCCATTCTATAAAATTATGACCAATTTCTAGGTATTTAGCTCTAGAGAAAAAAAAAAAAAGAAAAAAAAAGAGAAGAAAAGGAAGAAAAGGAAGAAAAAAAATGAGAAGAAAAAAAAACCTTATGGCAACTAAAATGGCTTTATCTTCTCTCGCGCGAAATCCAATTGTTAAATTAACGCCAAAGTGAAAATCTTCCAAAAGGAAAAAATGGCCGATTTTTTTATGCTACAAAGTAGTCTGCCTAACTTTTCGAAAAAAGAGAGATGACCTTTCTTTTTTTTTTTGTTTGTGTATTTTTGCTTATTTTTTCAGCTTCACCATCTGATCCCCCAAATAGAAGCTCCCCGTTGTGCAAATTTCTCATATGTATTGTATAGTCCTTCGCGTGCTTCCTTTTACAGCTGCGTGCCACTTTCGAAAAAATAAGCAATTGCTTTCCGCACCCTCAAAATGGGGTATATTATTCCAATTTGTTATTTTTTTTTTTTTTATTTCTGGATACTTCAAAAGGTGTTTCCCCACCTCTCCTCCATTTGAAACTCCCGAATTGTTGCACCTACGCCCACATTTTCACCTCGAATTTTGCACACCTTAACATAATCGATATGTTTGACGTATGTAGAAGTCTAAATGGGCAGAAAAATACCCTTACGAATTTACGGATGGAGACAAACGCCACGCATATATTTTATGAACCCCCCAAAAGTTTGTAAAAAATGGCGAAAAAATAATTACACAGCTTCTCCTTAAAGCTTATCAATCATGTTGAGCTAAAAAAAACGTGTAATCAATAACTGTTACACCTGCTATTAAAAGGGATAGTAGTTTAATACACAGTAAAAAAGAAAAAAATAAATAAATAAAATAAAAAAAAAAAAAAAATAATGTACACTATAGTACAATTAACACATAAATACAAAATCATACGGAATCAAAATTGCCATTGGCATCGTCCCCAAGTAGGAGACAATTCACTGAATTTCGATTTTCTTTTTTTTCTCGGGAAGCCCCTCCTTCTTGGGAATGTCAATTTTTAACACCCCATCCTTAAAGGTGGCCTTAATATTGTCCTCGCACACATTTTCAGGGAGCAGAAAGGACCTATAAAAAGACGTCTGTGATCTTTCCTTGAGGTAATACCTCTGTTTATCATCCCTCGTCTCTTCTGTTTTTTGGAAGTCTCCACTAACTTCTAAATTTCTGTTATATAAATTAATCTGTACATTATCTTTGTTCAACCCAGGAACGTCTATTTTTATCTCAATTTCTCTGTCCTTATCAATGACATCCATTGGTGGCAGTTTTTTGAATCCTTCCATTGAAAGCAGTTGGGGCTTGGCAAAAAACATATCACTGCTTCTGGCATTTCCGAAATCATAGTCTAAGAGGGATCTCCTGCTGGGAAAATATTTCGAAAGCTCATCATTAAAATAATGAGTTTTCAGTGAATTCATCATTCTGCTCATGTCCTCGTGGTATCTGTCAATTCTGTTCATTTGCTCATTCATGCATTCGAAAAAATTATCGAAAATTCCGCCTTTGTCCATCGTCAGCCCATCCTTTCTCTTGTCTGCATCGGACTCGGTTATTTTGTCCATGACCATTTTTGCGCAAACAGGAGGGAAAGCGAGAAGGCATGCAATGTACGCACGTCGCAAAATAAAAATATATAAATAAATATATAATATATATATTTAATGTATATATTTATGTGGCTTTTTTTTTCTGCTGGTCAGTTGTCGGCGGGTTACTTCACAATATCCGCGATTGTAGAAGGCAACTCGCAAAGTGAGTGAACAGTTTGTGCATGTCACATGCTCGTATGCAAAAAATAAGAATGTTACCACTCTTTCGAGTCTTACCAGATGGGGAGGTTTAAAAAGAAAGGAGGTAAATTCTCAAATAACACAAAACAAAATGTGAATCAAAGTAAGGAATTAAAAGAAGGGGAAAAAATTTTCTCTACGTGAAAACTTAACAATTAAAAAAAAAAAAAAGTAAGAAACCATTCCTTATAAATGAATTTATTTTCGTAAATTTTGTTTTTAATTTTTTGCCCAAATTTTGCATTTACGGAATTCCGCAATTTTTGGTGCTTTTTTTTTTTTTTTTTTTTCCTTTTTCCAGCATGCATGGCCCCAAAAAGGAAGAAAAAACAATTTCTATGTGGAGTGGAAAGTATTGCCTACTTAAACTCGTCGTTTTTACAAATGGCCACAAAATGGCCGTTCCCTTAATGGATACATTCTGTGCATATGTCTCGCCTCGCGATCTTTCGTTCTACGACGCATGTATTGCCTCCAATTTGCAACTTACATTTGTGCAATATGATATGGAGGGGGGCATTTTTTCGCAATCTATCATAAATTCATATATACATATATATATGTATATACATATATATGCCTTTTCGCTTCCGTTTCCGCTGGGTGAGTATGTTTTCCTCACCAGACTAGTCCTCATTCTGTTCTTTCTTAGCTTCCCATGCAGCTTGCGCGTACTCATTTTTACGTACCCACTTTTTGTAAATTAAAAATAGCCCCATCATAGGCCCATGTAGAACACCACTGGTTGCATGCAAAGTTGACATGCGCTCAGGAAAAAAAAAAGTACCTGGAGCGAAAAAGACGTTTTTCGAAATAGTGCAGTGAGGATATTTCGAAAAAAAACGAATATCATGGGTGTGATGGATTTTGTCGTTCTACACGGTCATGCCATAGATATATAACGTCCTATTTGTTGCCCATGTTATGTATTGATCAGTGCATTAAAGGAAAAAAGAAAAAAAAAGGGAGGCGGCGGGGCACTGTTATTTTTGGCCCCATACTGCAAGCGATGCCATCGTCGGGATGAGTGTGCTCCGTATGTGCTAATATGCGATGACAGGACTGCACGATATCGCAGTAGCACGATAGCGCGACAACACAGTCTTTGCTTTTTTCTTTATCTTCCTCAAAAGGATCAATGAGAAAAGTTAAAAACTCTAAACCGCCTATATGTGTCCGTGGCAAAATGACCCCATTGAAAACATAACACAGGCTTAAGTGTGACAAGTTAATGCGTAAAGCTTACATGTATACATGTACCATCCCAAAATTGTAAGGAAATGTAAAAAATGGTACATTTCAAGAAGGCTCACGGGACAAAATATCCCTCGGCGCTATTTTTTCTACCCCCCTACCTCCGCTTTCAAAAAGTATATACAATAAGGCTGCTCATATAAAGAGAAAAAAAAAAAAAAAAAAAGAACACACACAGCAGTAAATCCAAAATGGCACAAAATTGAAACATTCAAATGGATGCAAATTGTAACACAGGTGCATACTATATGGGTCTCTCCTATTTTTTATTTTTATTTTTTTTTTTTTTTCCATTGGTAACTTTTTCATGTAGGAAAAGTTGCAATTCCGTGGCGGTTTAAGAATGTTTCCCTCTGCTCGAAAATTTTAAAATCTTCAAAGTAAAAATGTACTAATTTGAAATCTGGGCACAGGATGACATCTACTTTTCGTACCACGCTGCCGCGCGTTAGAGTTAATAATAAGGAGTGAGGATGGAGTGCCCCTCCTTTTATGTCTCACCAATATGACATCCCCTTTTAAAAAAAAAATCGCCCCATTATATATAATGCTCATCCCAATCCATGTATATAATATTGGCAACAGTTAATGCCCCCTCGCAACCCTCATTTTGTGCGTTCAAAAAAGAAAGATGTTTCAACGGGGCGGGAACTACAAGGAGCATCGTTACCGCGGATAAATTGTATGCCTAGTTTGTTCTCCACTAAGATGATGCGACAGGGACACACACATGCACTACTACCAAAAGGAAGTGCACCCATAGGCTCACCTCTACTTTTACCCCCACTGCTACCGCCAATGCCAAATCGATCGCTATCCCCACCCAGAGCAGTAACATGAATAGCACATTCTCGTCATGGGTAAAATGGGCACTCCTACTAGTAAGCACACTAACAATTGATGGAACAAAAATACATGTTAAGAGAAAAAAGATTCTGTTCCCCTCTTTTACACAAAATGGTTGGTCGAGAAGGGGCAGAGACAATCACTTTGCTTCACACACCTTGGTGCGCAGAGGCAAAGCTGCCTTTCACCTGTTCAAAAAGAAAGACACCCCGTTGAAGTTATCCCAAGAGGATAATATAGGTAAAGAAATTAGCTCCTTAAATTGCCTAAACGAATTGATAGAATCGGTGTTACATAAGAAATACGAATATAATAACAGCTTGAAGGAGCCCATTTTTACCATCTCCCATTTGGCTAGCCATTTTATGAAGAACTCGGTAAATTTACAAAATGTAGAATTCGATGAACAAAACAGGGATGAATATACCTATGAGAAAAATAGAATTGGCGACTTTCTCGAGGAGAACAACATACAGGTTCGTAACAATTTGGGACAGCTTGCGCAAGTCGGTATGAATGTTCCACCAAATAAAGTTCAATCCAGCGGGAGCATCAAAAAGGACGACACTCATCGCAGCGAAAATGGTGGTAACGAAAATGATCTCAACCATGAAAATAAAATCCTTTGCTTGATGGCGAAAAATAAAATTAAAAAGGAAGGCGTCATATGCAGCATACCCAGCTCGTACATAATTCACTTTGACTACATCGTGAAGCAAATTCAAAATTACGTGGACCTTTTTTCCAGCGCTTATAACGTAAACTATATAAAATACATTTTTAAAAACAACATGGAAGATGAGATAAAAGAGCTAACCCCCCTCACCATCTTACTGTATGATATTTATAAAAGGCACGTCCACTTTTTATCCTTCATGAAGTCACCACTTATCTTTTTAAAATTCTGGGACGTGAAATTAACATTGATAATAACATATATCCACTTCGTTTCGAAATATGTGACGATTCTGCTTCATGCATATAATTTTAACAACACCTTTTTTGTTCTCCTGAGGAATTATTTCGCCAACAGGGAGAAACCAAATGGGATAACTGGCAAAAATTCGACGCGCAAGGAGGACCAAAGGAATGATGGCCCAGGTGACAACACAGGTGACAACAAAGGTGATAACCGAAGTGATAATCCAGGTGACAACACAAGTCATAACGCAAGTGATAACCCAAGTGATAACCCAAGTGATAACCCAAACGATAACCCAAGTGATAACCCAAACGATAACCCAAGTGATAACCGAAGTAACCCCCCAAAGCATAGCCTCCCTTGTAACGCTAACACAGAAGAGAAACCACGCAAGCCACACCCCCCACACATAGACCAAACACACTGCGCTCTTACCAAAGAAACAAATGAGACACTTAAAGAGAAGACCAATTTTTTCTTCTATAAAAATTACCAACATTACGTAAACTATATTGTTAATAAAAAACCTCTGTCCCATTTGCCTCTACTCTTCTCAGACTCCTCTTTTCTTCTTTTCAACAACATGAATATGAAAAATATAATTTATTTTCGGAGGCAAATGCTCCATGAAATATTAAATTTACTTAAAGGTGACGAAAATGGAAACTCCAACTTTTTATTCATTGACAAAAATGCCATACACAGAATTTTATTCACTAACAATAAGCATTACCAACGCATTGGAAAATTGCTAGCCTGTGATGATAACCCCCTTTGCGAGGAAAAACGAGAATCTCGCCACGACGTTTCGCTTGACCACACAGCAGACGTTAACAAGTTGTATCACTTCGCTTTGCTCCTGGAGGAAGCCAACCCAAACAGACAAGGCAGCCACCCAAACGGAGGGCCAACGGCCAGCGCACCAAGTGATTCCCCCCGTGAGACTATCGAATCCATCGCGTACACTGAATCCCTATTCGAATCGTTGGACCATTTCGTCAATTACAACTTTCTGATGCGAATATATTCCTACGTTTCCTCGCATGTGATAAAAGTGAAGGGCAACGTAACCCTAAATGGGGAGCATTCAGCGGAGGAAGGAAAAAAAATAAATCAAATACATCAAATAAAACAAGGCGAAAATAACCCAAATCATAGCGACCACTATGAGCTGAAGGACAACGTCCTAAGCAGCAACGTTAAAATGGAAAAGGTGGAGAAGGCCATCCAGAAGCTCACCGTAGAGGAATGCGCAAAGCACGATTTTAACCAGTATGAGAAAGCCGAAAGGGAGGAAGAAAACAAATACATGTGCCTAATACCAATCATAGACATCTGTAACCACAGCAATTTTGCCACCAACTGTATTATAAAAAAGGAAATGAAAAAAAGTGAAGAAGGTGGGTTTCACATCGCGAGAGATTCCATGAGGGATTCCCACTCTGGGGATGGCCCGAATGGAACGAACCAAATGAAGGACATTTTAAAGGAGACCCACATTGAGTGTATATCAAAAGAAGCCATTCATAGGGAAGAGAAACTACCAATTAGTAATTTAGATAATGTCCAATTAATCAGCTCAAAAGATATAGACAGAGGAGAAGAAATCACCATAAGTTACGGCAACCTGAGCAATGACCTTCTACTCCTAGAATACGGATTTATTTATAAGCAGAACACAAAAGTGTACTTCCATTTTGATGTGAAAATTGTAAGAGAAATAATTATACAAATATTAGGGTTTGATAAGTTACCCCTAACAATGTTAGAAAGTCTACCACAGGTTAAGGTGGATTTATTTATAAAGCTTCATGTCATCCAGAACAATCAGAATCTGTATGAACGATTTGATGTCAACAGCATGGAGAGCGCAAAAATTACGAGAAAAAAAAAAGAAATACTAAACGATTATGTAAGAAAAAATAAATATTTCAACGAGTACAACATCTTTACCATGAAAGATCGCATTAACAAATTCTACATCGAAGAAAAACTCCAACATTCGCATAAGAAAAATTACCTTTACATAGGCACAGAATTTATTGTAGACCCGATCCTACTAGCCACAATCCGAGTTATCATATATGACGACTTAGACCACCTCGCCAAGGTAAAGGTAACCGACTTGGGGAAATGGGAACATCACTTGTCACCCCTATCCGAAGTAGTTGTGTTGCAAATTTTAATCAAATTAATCGATGAAATTATATATGAACAATTCTACCATTTTAATTATGAAGAAATATTAAAGAAGGGAAACGTCCGATACGCCGATTTGAAATTTTTGCAGAATAAATTTCTCCAAAAAGATTTGTTCGACTCGGAGAAATCCATAGACGTATCGCACAGTAACAACTTTAAAATCGTTATTTATAATATTATGAAGCTGAAGGAGCTGCAAAATGCGAAGCGAAAGCTTACAGAAAAGTTGAAGCAAATGAAGGGGCTCATAAAGGTTTAATTGTGAGGATTATACGAAGGAGTAAATAATAATACAACAAAATAAAATGGAAGAATAAAGTGCGGTGCCAAAGTGTAAGGCTTCCTGGATATTCCCAACCTGTGTAGTAATATACCCACCGTGTGCGCTCCACGCAGGGGTACTCTATGATACATTTTGCGCGAGCCACAAAATTTAAAAACTACTTTCTTGGGAAGAAACCTGTCGTATTATGGGGCTGTCCCACGCTGTTCCTTTGATTCAGTTTTAATTACCTCTTTAACAATTTTTCTTTTCTACCAAGGGTATATTTTTTTTTTTTTTTGTTTACCTCATGGATGAGGAATGGATTTCCCGAGGTTGCTGTTAGTTTTCTGCAAATATGTGCATTTTCACACGGTCGCTCGATTTATAGCGTTAACTTCGTTTCTTCCTTTTTTTTGCGATTTTTTTACTTTCCCCATTTTTCCCTCTCTTTTGTGCAACTCCCCCCTGCAAACTATGATAAATGACATTATTTTAGTCGATAGGGAACATATAAAAACCCCGAGCGAAGAAAAAAATGTCGCGAAAGATGACGAAGCGAAATTGAGAATATACGGCTGTCAGTTGATACAGGAGGCTGGTATCCTTTTAAAGAGGAAAGCTGTGACAGTGGCCACTGCCCAAGTTTTGTTCCACCGCTTTTACTTTAAAAAGTCCTTAACTGATTTTGACGTTAAGGTTAAGTTTGCCCCCAAGTGGGTTCCCACTTATATACATGCGCATAGGGACAGGCAACTCGTTTGTTTCTCCACACATGTAGAAGTATCGGTTATGCCCCCCACCTGTCCATCCCGACGAACCTTCGTTCTCTTGCAGATTATCGCGCCCTCATCGCTATACTTAGCTTGCAAGCTGGAAGAAGACTTTTGCCGTGTGTACAAAATAATCAGTGCCTTTTATTTCCTGTACAAATATGAGGACTTAAAAAACAGGCACTACTATTTCAACGCGAAAAACGTCAAGGTGCAGCATTTCCGTATAGACACAGAATCGATGGTAACGCCATGCTCTTGTACGGCTAAATTGTGCTTTTCGAGTGACGTGCGTTGGATATGTGTGCGTGCATAAGGAAGATGCTTAGCTGTGTAAATGCTTATATGTGTAAATGCCTAGCTGCACAACTGTTTAGCTATTAAAATACTTGCCCACGCGTTACCCTCATTCCTAGGAATACAAAAACATGAAAGTCGAAGTTTTCACTTATGAACTTTTGATTTTAAAAGAGATGGGATTTTTGGTTCACAAAATAAATCAGCACCCCCACTTATTTCTCCTTCCCTATGTACATTCCCTCTTTAACAATTTAAATAAATTTGATGAGGACTTGACGAAAAAGCTGGCCCAAATTTCGTGGGGCTTTTTAAATGACAGGTTAAAGGTTTTTTCTTTTTTTCTTTCCCTTTTTGCAGAAGACAAACAGAACGAACTATATTTTTTCATCCGTTTTTACCCCTCCTGTTTTATATTGTGACACATACCTTGTTCTATGCGTAGCATCACCTCGCTAGCATATCGGCGTGTACATCGCACAGTTCTGTGGCTCCCTACATTACTACGTTTGATATGAGCACACCTTTGCCGTACATGATTATTGCCCCTTTTCATTCCTTCAGCATGCGAACAACCCTGTGCTGCGAGTACCAACCGCGATGCATCGCAGTCGCGAGCATTTTCCTGGCCGCACACAAGTTGAACATTCCGCTAATTCGAGTACGCCTCGACGTTACACACACATGAGAGCGTGTTTACATGAAGGTGCTTGCACATACCTGCGTTTGCCTAACCCCACGAAGCTGGCATTCAAGTTGTTACTCCCTGCACACATCCTTTTTCTCTTCAGAGCACCAACTGGTTTGCACTCTTTGACGTTGCATATGAAGACATAAAAAAGATATGCATCAAAATTTTGCATCTCTACAAAATAGGTACCGCCCCTCGCATGTACACCTGCTTATTCATTAACAGTTAAACTAGGCACCATTTTCCCCACGTGTAACCTTTCATATATCTCCCACCCCCCTTTGTGCCTTTAACAGGACGTTGCCATTATATAGACGTTTTGAAAAAGGAAAAATAGACATAGCACATTTGAATCGACATGGAAAAGCGCGAAGTGTTTTTAAAATCGGACGGGGAAAGACATAACCGTGTACGTACATGCACATGTGCACGATTGTGTTTCACTTTATTTTTTCTTTTTCGTACCCCTCTAATCTTTGTTTTTGTTTTTTTCTCGTTTTTGTTTCTTTCTCGTTTTTGTATTTTTCCTTTTTTTTGCCAACATGGGTTATTAATAATACCAAAAATAAGATTGCGCCTCCTTTTCCGTTCATTTGCGTGTTCTCCGACAAGCATCATCCTGATGGACATTTAAACATTACATGTTATTAATTTTGATTAAGATCTGTCACAGTTTCATAAATATGCAATTCGAATGGGTGTTGGGTGTGCATCGGAGGAGGAGCAGGTACGCACGAATACACATTCAAATATATAATCAATTATACACACATTGCACAAACTGTGGGCACCAAATGATCGTAACAACAATTATACAAAAGTTCGAACAATGTGCGGAAGCCCACTTCTCCCCCCTTTGAGTACAATTTGAAAACCATTTTATGAGAATTTTTTTCGTCAGTTTCCTAAGTTTACTTCATCTTAAACTCACGCTCAACTGAGCAATATTTGAGTTCAATGATTCTACTCAGGACTCGTGGGCACATCGTACTTTTGCAATTCATCATTCGTAAAAAATTTCTCTTTTAGTGGTTGACTAAATTGATTTCCAAAAGGGGGCCCTCCAGTGGGTTGGCTTGCGTAAAAAAGGGGCAGGCTACTAGAGCAATAGCACCGCTCTGCATAAGATATTGGCATAATTGGCCAAGTTGCTTGTGTCGAAAATGTACTTACAGATAATGTATACAAAAATTCGTACATATAAAAGAATATACATTTCGTAAGTTTCCTTTAGGGGGCATACATTACAAGTTAGTACGATATATTATCCCCCTCTCTGCGAAGGAACTTTTCTTAATTGTATCAATTTACGAACGAATAAAATTGTGGCCGTATTTTTTCGACCTCACAAAATGTAAGTACTAATCAGAGCACGCAACGTTGAAAACCCTTAAACTGGGCGACATCAAAAATGGAATAAATGAAAAAAATATGCTATGAGAAAAATATTTACAAAATGTATGTGAAACGTACGCCAAAAGGAGAGGAAGCATTAAATTTTATTCATATTTTGATGTTCTTCCTCCTTAAAATGAATAAAAATGTAAAATTATATTTTTTGAAATTGTT